GAGGAGAGAGGGAGTTGGGGGTTAGTGTTTGGAAGGGGAATCCCCCTCCATGAGGACTTCAGGTAAAGCCCTCTCTGGGGTTACTTCCCTTCTCTGTATTTTAATGCCACTAGGGCCAGCTTGAGAGTCACTGGACCCCTGTCTCACAAAATAACTGTCCACAGTTCTCTGTTTCTGGCACATCTTTAACATTTCCCTAAAATGGGACATGGTTTTGTCACTGAACTTGTTGCAAAGTATATGCCACTATGCTTCTTAAATCTGTCAAACCAGCCTCTGCTGGCCTTAAATTCACTATCAGCACTGGTTCCAGGAGTTTTCTGTACCAGATCGGCATGCAACTTCCTTGCCTTTTCGCAAATAATGGTCTCTGAAACACTATCACCTGCCATCTCTTTATCCTTGATCCACACCAGCAACAACTTCTCAACCTGATCGACTGTCTGTGGTCTCTTTTTGGTTAGCAAATTTAACACCTTTCACAACATCAGCTTCCTAAATTTGTTCTTTCTTTGCCAGGATAGAACCGATGGTCGACTTGTTTTTCCCACACATCCTGGCAAGCTCAAGTCTCACACCACTCTCATACTTCTGTATTATTTCCTTCTTCACATCTATGGTGTTTTTCACTTTCTTTACCACAGGGGTACCACTAGCAAGTTTCTTTGGGCCCATGGTAGCTTATTTCACAGTCCCACAAGCACTAAACACAATGAAATAATCGTAAAATGTTTGAATGAGAGCACAGGTTAGTGTTCACTCAAGCATCAACAAAACCAGACTGGCTCACGGCGCCTGTGCGGGGACATGGACAGAGCGGGCTGCCCGACAGGTCCGGTACCCGGCGGTTCGAAAATAGGGGCGAGTTCGATAATAGGGACAAGGTTGGTTCGAAAAAAAGAGTTCGATTTTTGAAGTTCGATAAGTGATACGTTCGAAATTTGAGGTTCCACTGTACACACATACTCACCTATGTACTCCCAAATCTTAACTTCAACAATCACTTTGAACCTTTTATCCATTGTTGACAGGAATATAATTGAATCATTGTTTTCACAAAAAGCATTTTCGAATATAAATATATCTCTGTCTTAAACAAATTTTGATTCATTTATAATTAATAATTTACTGTACAACTATGAAATAATCCTTAGTGTTAAGTAGACTGTAAGCCAATAATGTTAAGTTGGCCCATAATGCCTAGGCATAATAGAGGCTCTCTTTGCACTGCAACCCGCTATTGTAAATACAAAATCTCAATGTACTGTTTGCAAAGACATAAAATAAATAAAACTTGGAAAACACTCTCCCAGATTCTGGGGACCCATAAACTGAAAAAAAAAAACAAGAACATTGTCCTAACTAAATCTAATGAAACACCACTGCATCCCAATGATACAGTTAACAAGATAAATGACTTCTTCTCAACCATAGGATCTACTCTTGCCAGTAAAATCCCATGTACCAATGCATGTGCCGGTGACTATCTAGATGGTAATTTCCAAAATTCTTTCTATCTTGTACCAAATGAGCCCACGAAAGTCACCACAATTATAAAGTCACTTAAAAATAACTCAGGGAATCTGTCTCACGTCCCACCATTATTGTACAAGCGAGCGGACCATGTCCTTTCGCATGCTATTACATTACTTTTTAACAAGTCACTAGAAAATAGCACTTTCCCAACACTACTCAAGACAGTAAGGGTTACACCAATACATAAAGGTGGTGACCCTACAGATGTAAACAACTATAGACCAATATCAAACTTACCATTGCTATCCAAAATCTTCGAGAAACTCGTGCATAGGAGACTATATTCATTTATAACAGCACAAAACATACTCAACCCCTGCCAATTTGGCTTCAGAAAAAATAAAAGCACTAATGATGCAATTGTAAAAATGCTAGATCTGCTTTACACAGAATTGGAAAATAAGGAGTATCCGCTAGGACTTTTTATTGACCTAAGAAGAGCTTTTGACACAGCAGACCATGGCATCCTACTCCACAAACTTGACCATTATGGTATAAGAGGCCATGCGCTTGCATATTTCAAATCCTACCCTACTAATAGGTATCAGTACGTCACCATTGAAGACACAGCCTCATCAACACGGCCACTTGATACTGGAGTACCACAGGGAAGTGTCCTTGGTCCCCTGCTCTTCCTCATATACATCAATGATCTTCCCAACGTATCCCAACACCTGAAATCCATTCTCTTTGCTGACGACACGACTTATGTCATCTCCCACCCAAATCTTTCCACCCTCAACACTATTGTTAATGAGGAGCTGCTCAAAATATCTACTTGGATGACAGCCAATAAACTTACACTCAACACTGACAAAACCTACTATACAGTGGTCCCTCAATTATCGTCCATAATCCGTTCCTGGAAGTGGGACTATTATCGAAATAGACGATTTTCGAATCAATTTTCCCCATAAGAAATAATGTAAATACAATTAATCCGTTCCTGACACCCAGATGTATTAAAACAAAGAAATTTTTTACATGAAATATAGATGTAGTACATAAACAATACAATGGGACATGACGAATGAAACATTAACAGCATAACACTTACCTTAATTGGTGATTCTTCTTAGTGTATGGAAGACTGAAGGAGGAGAGAGATTGAATTACTGTTTGGAAGGGGAATCCCCTTCCATCAACACCTCAGGTACCAAGTGCTTTTCTGGGGTTACTTCTCTTCTCTGTTTCTTAATGCCACTAGGACCAGCTTGAGAGTCACTGGAGTCCTGTCTCGCAAAAAAATTGTCCAGAGAGCTCTGTTTCTGGCGTCTCTTTAAAACTTTCCTAAAATGGGACAAGACTTTGTCACTGTACCAGTTGCCGATATGGCTTGCAACATCCTTTCTAGGGGTGACGTTTCTCCATAAATCTTTCCATCCTACCCCACATTTCAAAAATCTCCTTAATTTCTGAAGAAAGCACCTTCTTCCATCTCTCTTCCTCCTCCTCTGCAGCAAGATTCTGAGCTGCGATCTGTTGCTCTTCCTGCTGAAGCTCTTGCAGCTCCTCAGTGGTTAGCTCTTCGTTGTGGTCCTCCACCAACTCCTCCACATCCTCCAAACTCACATCCAACCCCATGGAACTCCCCAATGTCACAATAGAGTTCACAACTGACTAAAATGAATGGAATATTATGAAATATTTCATATGAACACATGAGGAGACCGTCTCTCACTGGTAAACAATGGTACACTGGCTGGGAAGGGAGGCCGAGGCGGCTCAGAGCTGTGAGTACACGTCCAGGACGAAAGACGATTAGAGTTAACGGACCATTTGCGAGCCTATGTTTAGACGAAATAACGGGACTATTTCCGAAATGGACGACTTTCAGGCCGGACGATTATTGAGGGACCACTGTATTATGTTTGGTAGCAGAGGAGGTGTTGCACAACTTAACATTAACCCTTTTAGGGTTGGTGCCATACTAGTATGGCTTGCATGCCAGGGTTGGTGCCGTACTAGTACGCATTAATTCTAGCGCCTTCAAATCTAGTGAAAGCTGGTGGGCCTATATATGAAAGAATGGGTCTATGTGGTCAGTGTGCACAGTATAAAAAAAATCCTGCAGTGCACAGTGCATAATGAGAAAAAGAAAAAAACTCCGACTGTGTTTTTGGTTTAAAACAGCGACTTTGCAGGATATTTTTGAATGCTATTTAAGGTTATATTCTAGTTTTCCTGGTCTCATTTTATAGAATGGAAGACATATTACAGAAATTGACATGATTTTGATTGGTTTCACAAAGAAAAGTACCTTGAAATTGAGCTCAAAATAGCAAAAATGTTCGATTTTTCCAAAGTTCAAAAGTAAACAAATCATGCCATGCGTCCAATATACGTCAACTGGTGAGTTTAATATTCTTTCACAAGTGTGCTAATATTGTTTATACCATTTGTACACCATTTCTACATTAATGCAGTAGACTGCATAACAGTAAATCTTCTATTTTTCGTGAGAATAAAAATTCAAAGTGGAAAGCAAAAGAAATGTAAGAGACCTGGGGATATGACTAATGAACAGAGGAAATGTTATTTTAGTGCCAGGAAAGTCCGTGTTGTTTATTCTGGACCCTATTTGGAAATTGGCATCTTTTGAAATTTGTGTGAAATTGGCAAAATTGCCAATTTCTGACCACTTTTTTTTTTGGGTAGTTGAAATATAAATGGGTGGTTTCTTTTACCAATTTGATAGAAAAAAAATTCTAGCGAAATATTGATTTTTTCGCACTGTACATGGTTGCCGAAAATAGGCTCAAAGTGGGCGAAATTGCCCAAGCCGCAAACCCTCATCAAGACCCCCCACTTCGCTAGAGCATATTCCGTAAGTTTTCCATCAAATTTCTGACTTTGGTGGCATTTATCGGGAAAAGATTCTCTAAATTTTCAAAGAAAAAATAATAATTTTTTTTCATTCGAAAAATTTCAGAACTGAGAACAAGTTTAGGAGAGGGGCTGTGACCTAAAGGGTTTAAACTTTTCCTCAAGTTTACATTAAAGTTAGGCCTGATGTTAACGGCAACCATGCTGATCCAAATTTATTAGCATTCATGATATTTCTTACTATTACTTTTCTGTTTCAAAGCCCTTGTGTTACCCAAAATATGCTTCATCTCAGTATTTACCAATACAAAAGTTATACCAAATAGTTACAGAAGATCTTAAAAATTCATAAATCATAAACCAAATTGTTACAGTACACTGTTATAATATTTTGCAATCCACAGCATTCTAGTTAACCATACTGTGTAATTGTCCAGGGATTAACTAATTAATTTTAAGGCTGCCTGAAATACTCTACATAACAAGGTTTATTATAAAGTAGTATGTCAATTAATGCTATGTAATAGAAATATAGTTATTTGTTTGATTGAATGCCTAAAAGCCAAACTAAATGTGACTGACACTCTTCAATATTATTTTTGCCATTTAAGTTACTTTTTACTCCAGTACTATTTTACCTTATATCTGCAGCTCTCCCGACTTGGTGTGAGACTTCACTAAATGCTGTCCAAACTTCTTCTTGCAGATCCACCGAGCTTGTATTTAGATCTTCGTCAACACTAGAATGCAAGTCAGCTTGGAGGCAATCTTCTCTGGCTCTGTACTTTCCTTTTATATCCACATTCCAGAGAGTCAACCCATGTTCTTGTACAGTGAGAATAATTTTTTTGTCTCCATCTTTATCAGGTGCAGTTACCAGAGAAGTGGTTAGAATTCTTCCCTGTTCTACAATGAGTGGCAGAGCATGAATCCTCACATCTTTTGCTTCAGAACACTTAATTGGTTTATTTTTGGTATCAAAATTAATGCAAGTTTTGTCCTTATTTGTACTTTTATACTGCAAATCTGTTTCTTTTTTGCAAGGGCTCTCTCCTACTTTCTCATATTTCAATGTATTTTGAAAATCTGAATTCAGTGTTGCATTTTCTTTTTCATCTTCATGACTGTGTGAAAATGTCTTATCTTTTTGTAAATTTTCTGGATCAAAGAGTTCCTGAGGACTGTCCTTAATATAACTTGAAAGTCTTTCATTTATTACATCACTTATTTTGGAAGATCCAGACTTTATTTGTTTCTCACCAGTCTTATGATAAGTGTTATGTGTAGAGATAACAATGTTACTGTTAACAAGATCATCATGTGCATCTTTTGGGCAAGAATTCTTATTTAAACTGACAATACAATTAGACTGCAATTTCTGTGATGGTCGAGTATGAGGTTCATTGGAATTTTCAGACTCGTTTATAGACCTCATTAATTTCTTCTGCACCTGTGTGTGTTTTACTTTATTTATATTTTCCTCATGTATTACTTTATCTTTGGATTCTTGTCTTACTTTACTAATATGTCTTACATGTTTTATTTTATCTATATATTCTTCATGTCTTACTTTATCTATATGTTCATGGTTTACTTTAGTTATATGTTCTCCCAATTTTAACTCATCAGCATGTTCTTGTCTTATTGTATTGAAATGTTCTGTACTATATGACTCACTATTCCTGTCAGTTTTTCTTCTTTCTCTGCTATCTTCCTCTCTTACATACTCTTTAGTAATTTTATAGTATTCTTCCTCTTGCTCAGAAATGTCACCTATAAATTCCTTCATCATTTCTTGTTCAATCTCTTTTATCATAAGTTCTTCAGTTTGGTGTTGCCTTGTATTATGGTCAGCTGGTGTCTCTAATTCTGTGAGTGACTCCTTTAAGATGTTCTGTTCAACATTTTGAACCAAAATTTTGTCTTTTGGTTCACCTCTGTCACTAGCTGCACTTCCTGAGTTTTCTGAGCTGCTCTGAGAAGCTCTGGTCTTTCTCCATCGTTTGCTAAGAGAAACACAGCTTCTTTTTATCTCTATGTTTCTGGTCAGAGTCTTTTGCTGTGTTTCAAAAAGATCCTGAGATTCTGTTTCATTCTGTGAATTAGAATCTTTGAAATTTAATATTCTCTCTTCTGGCTGCAAGTGATTATCTTTTATACTAATTACAGAATTTGTATTTGGTTCTTGAGCATCTACTTCATTAATATTAACATGTAAAGTGCTTAAAATGCTGCTTTTTTTACCAGATTGAAGGTTATAGCTTTCATTTTCAATCCAGTTATTAATACTACCATTGAGTGTGCTGTATTGTTGAAAGGCTTGAGAGTCCCGAGTGGGTCCACAGTTCTCAGAGCTTGATACCTGAGGTTCAACACAAGAATTAGAGAGAGAAATTTTGTCACCAATATGAGGAAATTCTATGGAACCACTAATTTCAGTGCTACATATCTTTTCAGTTACTTTATTGTTAGATAATTCATTGTTGGCTGTTCCACTGCTTCCAGAAACCAAGGACTCATTTTTTGGAAAAGAAAGACTGTCCTTGCTGCCCATTTTAGTCTTCACTTCAGTGACAGGGCTGCTATCACAATTATCGTCACTGGTGCTGTACATTTTAGATGAAACTCCCCCATTCATCACATCACTGTCTAATACAGTTTTTGCCATTTTTCTTTCATTACTAAAGCTGATTGATAAATTTTCCAGGTCAGCTTCTTTGAAAAGCACTTCCAAATGATCTTCCTTAGTGCAGGACTCCTTTTTGGATTTCTTTCTGTCTTGAGAATTAGTTTTCCGAGTTGAGAGCGATCTATAATACATGGGATTTTTGTTTTTTCTTTTACAGGTGTGGGGTTGAAGGAACAAAAATAACTTTGGGGGAATCATTGCAAATGTGGGCTGTTCTTGACCACTGATCTTACTTTCTGCTTCTGTCACAATATTTTTTTCTGCATCACTGAAGGAATCATCTGAAAAAAAAAAAAAAAGTCAACTTGTAAAACAAGCAAGGAATAACGAGATATGATATACCAAATTTAAGAAATAAATTTAACATAAATACTGAGTTTGCTATTATATTATCAGGAGATCAGTATTTGTAAGCGCAGTGTCAGTGTGTAACTAGCAACTCGAAAGTGAGCCACAGTGTACTGAAACGTGATGATCACAAAGTAAACAGCCCTCCAAACAAAGTAATCAACTGCACCCCATAAAGTAATCAACTGCCCCCCTCCCCCCCACAAAGTACAGGTCTCCCTCCACATTCATGAGGGTTAGGGTATCAAGAACCTCGCAAACTGTTGCACAAATATATTGTTGGGAAATATAATAATAGCATTTACTTAGCCTAACAAAACTGCTTCCTTAACCTACTGAATCATGAACAATCATAAAACACACAAAAACATCGTAAAATATTGTACTAGTGCCAGCCCTTTGGTCAAGAAGGTGAGAAAGGCTATAGAATTCAAGAAAGAACTCGTAGCAGAGTACCAAAGCGGAGGAGAAAGAGAGAGGGAAGAATGTGCCTTCTTCAGTGATTCTGCACTGAGTCGATAAAGGCTATAGCTCCAGCCAGCAATAAAGTGTAGCATTAACAGTGTAGCAAGTAAGTTAAGCGATTAATTGATAGAAAAAGGACAGCACAAACCTAACTCCTCCAATGTTGCTGGAGTTACTATATAGAGCGACTGACAACACTGCCATCTCTATCACCTCTGTGGCCGCCTCCACCACCACTGTCTAAGGCTTATGCTCTCAGTGGCCCTTATACACCCAACAACAACAACACTGCAACAACACTCATGACATACTTAATGACATAATTCATTCATTCTAGAGTATATGCCATGTTTCTCTGTCACTAACATTTTTTATAATGTCATATTAGATGAATTGTGATAGATAAATAAGCTGCCACAATTCCTAACATGCGTAATGACGTATTTTAAATATGGTTGGACGGCTGGGCATTCGCAAATGTTTGAAGCCCGTGACAGCTGAACTCGTGAATGTGGAGGGAGACCTAAAATAAATTCCACCCCATAAAGTAATAAACTGCCCCTCACGAAGTAATAAACTGCCCACACAATGTGATCAATACACATGAAAATAAATAAAATAATAATTAAAACTATATAAAAAGTGGCTAAAAGAAACAGAATTAACAAAATGCCAATAAGTTTAACTTAGATTAACAATAAATTCCTGTGTTAGGAAGATAGTCAGCTCCTTTGCTACTAACCACAAAATCTTGTACATACTAATTTACAATTTCTACAATTTACTGCACTTTCTAATTTCTGCCTTTATTTCCAATTAAAAAATCAATGTTTCATCAATCTACATATATTTTTGAAGTACAATACAGGTCCTCCATCACAAATCCGGCATCATTGGGACCTGTAGTGTGCCGGATTACTGAGTTTGCCGAATTACAGAGTGGTTAGGTTAGAATACACTTAATAAAATTAACCAACTTGACTTACACAGTTCATTGAACATCGGCAAAAATCGAACATTTCCGCTACTTTGAGCTCAATTTCAAGGTACTTTTCATCATGAAAGCAATCAAAATCATGTGTACTTCTGTAATATAACTTCCATTCTATTAAATAAGTCCAAAAAAAGGAGAATACAACCATAAAAACCATACAAAAATATACAGCAAAGAGGAGGCTAATGGCTGAGAAGTTAACTCCCTTATTTATCGTCCGTCTTTTTTATTTTTGTTGTACGTTAAGAAGCATCTTTCCATCATACATTGCCCAAGTTTCAATGAGATAGCCCAACAAACAACCGAGAAAAAAAAAATATTTACCAAAAATCATATATGGCAAGCCCAAGCCAGGTACTGGAAATAAGTCACTTTGTCTGACTTTTCTGGGTTATCCTAGGTTCTCTATACATACACAGATATGTATGATAATCTATGTAACTGTATTTGTGTATACCTGAATACTTATTTACTTCTAGTCTGTCAACTGAGTACAAGAAACCGCCCATTCACTTATTTCAACTACCCAATAAAGTGGTCAGAAATTGGCAATTTGGCCAATTTCACACAAATTTCAACAGATCCCAATTTCAAAATAGGGTCCAGAATAAACAATGCAGACATTCCTGGCACTAAAATAACATTTTCTCTGTTCAGTAGTCATGGCTACAGGCCCCTCTCATGTTACTCTTGCTTTCCATTTGAAATTTTTATTCACAAAAAAAATAGAAGATTTACTGTTATGCAGACTGCTGCATTATTGTAATAACTGTATAAATAATGTCAACCCATTCTTGACACCATATTGGAATTTAGACTGGCAGGTGGACAGGTATTGGACGGTGACGTCATTTGTTCACTCTTGAGCTTCGCTAAAGAACAGAACATTTTCGCTACTGTGAGAGCAATTTCAAGGTACAGTGGACCCCCGCATAACGATCACCTCCGAATGCGACCAATTATGTAAGTGTATTTATGTAAGTGTGTTTGTACGTGTATGTTTGGGGTCTGAAATGGACTAATCTACTTCACAATATTCCTTATGGGAATATAAACACAAATGCAGTATAATGTGATCCTTTATTGACTACGTTTCGCCCACACAGTGGGCTTTTTCAAGTCACAAACAGAACTACCTGGGGTGGAAGGAAAGCGAGTATTTATAGTCCGGCTGAGGTCAGGTGAAGAATGCTGCATCTGATGATGTACCGAGTTGGGTTGTAGAGTCTAAAAACTTGGGTAGCTTGGAAAGGAGACTGGACAAGTTTGTGAGCAGACCTTCTACAGTGTTCTTATGTGGGATAGCGATGAAGAAGTTTCTTGGCAAGTGGTTCAGCTATGTTATAGAAGCCACTATTCTGGTTGAAGTTGTCGGATATAGAAATAAGTGATGATTCCAGGATTCTTCGGTATTGGGTGTTGTCTTCTGTGGCGATAAGTCTTGAGTTTCTGTAGTTTATCAAGTGGTTGTGTGAATTACGGTGTTGTACGCATGCATTCCTTGTGTCGTCAGACCTGCTTGCGTATTGGTGTTCTGAAATACGTGTTTGGAGGTCCCTTGATGTTTCGCCCACGTATAACTCATCAAGGGACCTCCAAACACGTATTTCAGAACACCAATACGCAAGCAGGTCTGACGACACAAGGAATGCATGCGTACAACACCGTAATTCACACAACCACTTGATAAACTACAGAAACTCAAGACTTATCGCCACAGAAGACAACACCCAATACCGAAGAATCCTGGAATCATCACTTATTTCTATATCCGACAACTTCAACCAGAATAGTGGCTTCTATAACATAGCTGAACCACTTGCCAAGAAACTTCTTCATCGCTATCCCACATAAGAACACTGTAGAAGGTCTGCTCACAAACTTGTCCAGTCTCCTTTCCAAGCTACCCAAGTTTTTAGACTCTACAACCCAACTCGGTACATCATCAGATGCAGCATTCTTCACCTGACCTCAGCCGGACTATAAATACTCGCTTTCCTTCCACCCCAGGTAGTTCTGTTTGTGACTTGAAAAAGCCCACTGTGTGGGCGAAACGTAGTCAATAAAGGATCACATTATACTGCATTTGTGTTTATATTGCCATTGTGTCGGTATTTTATACCATTTATTTCCATTCCTTATGGGAACAAATTCGGTCAGTACTGGCACCTGAACATACTTCTGGATTGAAAAAATATCGTTAACCGGGGGTCCACTGTACTTTTCGTCATGAAAGCAATCAAAATCATATCTATTTCTGTAATATATCTTTCATTCTATCAAATGAGACCGAAAAAATGAGAATATAGCCATAACAACCATACAAAAATATACCGCTAAGCGGCTGCTAATGGCTGAGAAGTGAACTCCGCTATTTATGGTCTGATTTCTTTCATTTTTGGTGTACGTGAAGAAGTATCTTTCCATCATGCACCGCCCAAGTTTGAATAAGATAATCCAACAAACAACTGAGAAAATAATATAAGAATAATAATAATAATAATAATATCTTTATTTACTACACATACATGTACAAGATCCTAGGTAGTAGGTTGGTAGACAGCAACCGCCCAGGGAGGTACTACCGTCCTGCCAAGTGAGTGTAAAACGGAAACCTGTAATTGTTTTACGTGATGGTAGGATTGCTGGTGTCCATTTTTCTGTCTCACAAACATGCAAGATTTCAGGTACGTCTTGCTACTTCTACTTACACTTAGGTCACACTACACATACATGTACAAGCATATACAGTGGACCCCCGCTTAACGATCACCTCCAAAAGCGACCAATTATGTAAGTGTATTTATGTAAGTGCGTTTGTACGTGTATGTTTGGGGGTCTGAAATGGACTAATCTACTTCACAATATTCCTTATGGGAAAAAATTCGGTCAGTACTGGCACCTGAACATACTACTGGAATGAAAAAAGTTCGTTAACCGGGGGTCCACTGTATATACACACCCCTCTGGGTTTTCTAATATTTTCTTACTAGTTCTTGTTCTTGTTGTTTATTTTCTCTTACCTCCATGGGGAAGTGGAACAGAATTCTTCCTCCGTAAGCTATGCGTGTTGTAGGAGGCAACTAAAATGCCGGGAGCAAGGGGCTAGTAACCTCTTCTCCTGTATATATTACTAAATGTAAAAGGAGAAACTTTCGTTTTTCCTTTTGGGCCACCCCGCCTCGGTGGAATACGGCCGGTGTGTTGAAAGAAGACATGTACAAGATATACAGGCCTAGCTGACATAAGTGACATACTACTGTATAGAAAGCCGCTTGTTATGCAGAGTATTTCAAGAAAATTAGGTCAGTGTCCCAGGATAACACCCACACTAGTTGGCTAACACCCAGGTACCCATTTACTGATGGGTAAACATAGACAACAGGTGTAAAGAAACACGCCTAATGTTTCTACCCTGGCTGGGAATCGAATATTTACCAAAAATCATATATGGCTAACCCAAGCCAGGTACTA